AAACCACGATTGAAATTTATTTTGAGAGCCACATTTTTAAAACTGAAAATACATAGGATGATACACTGTTTTTAGTTTCAATAAGTTTTTATAGTAATTCATCCCCCATATAGTAATTCATCCCCCATAGTAATTCATCCCCCATATAGTAATTCATCCCCCATAGTAATTCATCCCCCATATAGTAATTCATCCCCCATAGTAATTCATCCCCCCTATAGTAATTCATCCCCCCTATAGTAATTCATCCCCCCTATAGTAATTCATCCCCCATATAGTAATTCATCCCCCCTATAGTAATTCATCCCCCCTAGTAATTCATCCCCCATATTAATTCATCCCTCATATAGTAATTCATCCCCCATAGTAATTCATCCCCCTATAGTAATTCATCCCCCCTATAGTAGTAATTCCTCCCCCATATAGTAATTCATCCCCATATAGTAATTCATTCCCCCCTATAGTAATTCATCCCCCATAGTAATTCATCCCCCATATAGTAATTCATCCCCCATATTAATTCATCCCTCATATAGTAGTAGTAAGTAAGTAGCAAGTAGTAAGCCAAGTCCCCCCTGTGTCAATTCACTTACCTTTGCTCCGCGCGTTCCTCTCGCCGTGTTCCCGCGCCGTTCTGGTCTTCAGGGCGGACTGTGAGAGGAGCCTAGCTCCTCTCACGTTCGTCACGCTGCCCCGCCTACGCACATCCTGACAGCCAATCACTGGCTATCAGGATGTGAGTGGCAGCGAGACTGGCCAATCATTGCATTTGAGCGCGCTGCCCTGGCTGTTTTTTTTTTTGGATCACGCTGCAGAGTCCCTGCCGCCCGAGAGGGAGGGGAGCGGGCGCCCGGCACACAAGAGCCGCATTAAAGCGTGTAAAGAGCCGCATGTGGCTCGCGAGCCGCGGCTTGCCGACCACTGGTATAGTGTATGGCCAGCTTAATACGTTAAATCCCAAGAGATACTTACAGGTCTGGTAGAGTGTGCCTTTTTTTTTTTTTAATTTAAATATTTATTTATTTTCCATATAAAATACATATTTCCTCATTTCTCTCATATAACATAAAAAACCTTCAGTTATATTTAAACCATTAATTATATCCCTTTCTATCATTTTTCCCATTCCCACCCCCCAAAAAAAAAAGTAGAGTGTGCCTTGACAGGGAAAGGTGGAAACTTGTCCTTAACCCCTTCACGCCCCCCGGGTAAAACAAATCTTAAAGCCTAAGTAAAATTTTACAACTTTGACGTGTTAATAAAACTGCACATATCATCACAACTACTTTGCGCATCCAGGTGGATTATACCGCGTTTTTTTTTTCAGGACAAATTGGTCTTTCATTTGGCGGCAAATGGTAATGGATATCTCCTGATTTTTTTTATTATCAAAGGAAAACTGTCCCAAAATAGTAAAAAAAAAATATATATTTTTTAAATTTAGCTGTGTGTTTCTTGTTACTACCATAACCTACCACCAAAGAACAACCCAAAATAAATTTTCCAACTCTTGATTATCCCAGCGATACCATATATGTGTGTTATTTGTTGTTTGTACCTGTACTATAGCCCAGAAACAATAGTGCGCATTTTGTTTTTTCCCAAAAAACACACTGACACTGATATCAATTAAAAAAAAAACAACAAAATCCTGACCCTTGACGTTGACCCAAACTCTAACCCTGGCACAAAACTAGATTAAACCTTGATCTAGGTATTTTTTTCTTTATTTTTTAATATTTATTTATCTTTATTTTTTTTCACAAAGTTATTTTTTTTTCTCTATGCAAAGAGAAAGATACAATGTATCTCTCTCCTCCATTCAGGGAGAAAAAAAAACCCAAAGGGGGCGGGCTTCACAGTGACTGATCACTGTGCAGAGGCTATCACAGCAATCATGTGACCCGGAATCGGGAGTCCAGGGTTCCGATCGTTAGAACAGGACCCGGGCCCTCAGTGACACCTCGGTCTTTGTACGCAAATTTGCGGCCCCATGTAAAAAAGCCCAGTTCTGTGAGGGCACATATTTGTGTAACCTCGGCGTCAAGGGGTTAAAGGAGAAATACAGCCAGCTCTTGTTTGGCTGTACTTCTCCTCTGGATCACAGGAGTGCAGTTCGTTCTGCACTCCTGTGACTCATTATCAGCAAACAGCGGGGTAAAGTCCGCTGTCGGCTGACATCATTCAGCCAGTCTGGCTGGGGAAAGATCATGACCATATGGTCAGGAAACACCCAGGAGACAGGACCTCCACTGAGAGTCTGAGCCAGCAGACAGGCAGAGCAGTCAGACAGTCACCGCTCTCTGCTCAGTGCGGCAGGGAGAACAGAGCGATCAGTGGTGTCTGATCGCTCAGTTATCAGCCTTAAAGCCAGCAGGGGTTAGTGCAGGGGCGGACTGACAACTCATGGGGCCTCCGGGCAATAGGGGATCATGGGGCCCTGTGTCCTTGCCCAAACTCAAAAAAGCCTATGAAAAGGGTACCAGGGGCATCTCATGGGGCCCCCTACTGACCCCGGGCCCTCGGGCAGTGCCCGAGTTTCCAAGTGGTCAGTCCGCCCCTGGGTTAGTGCTGCATCCACCTAGGTACTGTAAGTATGATTTAAGAAAAACAAACATCTCTTTTAAGACCATAAACTTAAGCAATAATTTGTCTGAGACACTGTGAAACAAGAAGCTGATACTCCTTTCTAGTAATGTTCAGGAATGACAAAAAGACCAGAAACTACCCTAGGAAAGAGGGAGGCTCTAGGCCCCTAGTAACCCCACCTGCGGCCCGAGGGCCGCATGTGGCCCTTTTGGTATATGATGTGTGCCTCTTGGAACTCAGCAGCATTTAGTGAATGCATTAGGGCTCGTTCACACTAGGCTGTTTTGCCAACGCTTGCCAAACGCCCCTATAGCGTTTGGCAAGCGTTGGTCCGGTGTTTGCGGAGCGTTTTTAACGCTCGGCAAACGCTCCGCAAACGCCGCATGCGCGGTTTAGCGGCGGTTGCTAGGCGTTTGCCGAGCGTTAATAACGCCCCACAAACGCCTATAATGCATTTGAGTGGTGTTACCGCTCCGCAAACGCCCCGCAACCGCGTCGCAACCGCACCGCAAACGCCGGCCGGGCGTTTGCGGAGCGGCACCATAGACGAGAATAGGAGGCTTCAAAGCCTCCTGACTCGACCAGAGGCGTCCGTTTTGCGTGACGCGACGACGACGCAAACGCTCCTGTTAGAACAGCACCATGTGCTGTAATGTGCAGAGTTGGCAGAGGCGTTTGGGAAGCGGTAAAAACGCTTCCCAAACGCCTCTCTGCCGCCTGCACACAAGGCTAGTGTGAACGTAGCCTTAGTTAAGCATTGATCTCTACTAGCCTCATGAAACATGCTCCCACATTTGTATTGTCTTCTGCAGCCTAACCCCAGCCAAAAACCCTACACTTTCATAAACCAAAGAGAATTCTTTACAGGATAAAGCCACTAGATCAGACACCAATCATGCAATTATGTAATTGATCATGTCATCGCACCTATACAGAATGTCTGCATATGTTCTATCTCCTTTTTTGCACTTCTATTTCAGTTCCTATATATAACTGAAAACATGACTAATAAGTGCTACATGAGGTGAAGAAAAGAAAACTGCATACAGTACATTCTAATACATTTGCTGGTTAGGAGAAAAAAAAAACATAAAAACATCAAATTAGCAGCAGACACACAAAAAACTAACAGATCTGCCCTACAAGTTTTGGCAAACAGTCCAGAGTTGGAACTTCCAGGTTAAAATGAAGATACATTTTATATACTGAAGTTAATAAAACAGCACCACCTAATGGAGTTTTCAAACCATTGCATGAATTCTGTAAAATAAAATCACTGTCATTTTGGTACAAACAAAAAAGGTGTGTTTTAAAGGAAATGGGTATCTTCTGAATTGATGGGGTTTTATATGCAGTACTTTAGCATTTCAGGGACTACAAGTCTCAGCATGCATGCCATGCCAGCAGTGTAAGAAATTCCTGTTCTTTAACATAAAATATGCAGTATTTAAATACTAAAAATAATACTTTGACCATCCTCTTACCTTTACAATGTACCCCTGGCAGCATGCGAGAGCCCCTAGAATTTCCTATGTGAGTTCTAACTCTCTGAAAGTCAAATTTGCTTAGGGCGAAGCACCTAGTGATACCCTGGCTTCCCACATAACTTCATACAACAAAATAGTGGATTTTTCTCTAAAATACAATGCCAGATTGAAGCAGCACAGGTAATGGTCTTCTGATGCCAGCTGTGCTGCATGCCTGCTTCTTTGCCTAGTAGGAGATAAAAGTATTCTGCGCATTCAGAGCTCATTAGAGCACTGGGCCGTTGAGGGGGAGCATCTCAGCGGATCACGAGTGGCTGAGCCAGGTGCCCTTCCAGGCTTCTGGGTGGAGCTTGACCATATGACCGGGATCTTTTCATAGCCTGCATCACAGGAGTGCAGAACTAACTGAACTTCTGAGATCCATAGAAGTAAAGCCAAAAAGCTTTCCCTATACTTCTCTTTTAAGACAGGAAATGTTATTAGCCAGATCAGCAGGTGAAAACAGCAAAAAAAAAAAAAGAAGCCTAAAAAAAGAAAAACAAGCAGCTACCACATCGAAGGGTTGGTAAACTGCAATACATTACATTTTTGGTTTTGGGTTTAACACCACTTTAATGATGAATGATCAGGATCCTCCCAATACTGATATTTTTAAATACATCGCAAAGAATCAATAACAAGGGAATATAAAGCTTGTGAATACTCGGGACACAAGAGTGAAGGGCGCGGTCATGCAACATTGTACCCATATGAAATTTCTATAATTATTTTTGTGACAAATAGAGCTTTCTTTTGGTGGTATTTAATCAACTCTGGGATTTTTATTTTTTCATAAAACAAAAAACCACTGAAAATTTTGAAAAAAAAAATGTTTTTTTTCTTAGTTTTTGTTATACAATTTTGTAAATAAGTGATTTTTCTCCTTCACTGATGTGCGCTAATGAGGCTGCAGTGATGGGCACTGATAGGTGGCACTGGTAGGTAGGCAATGATGGGCATTGACAGGCATCACTGATGGGCACTGAAAGGCAGCACTGATGCATGACACTGATATATGGCATTGATAGGTGGCACTGACTGGCACTGATGGGTGATATTGAAAGGCAGCTCAGATGGGCACTGATATGTGGCATTGATGTGGCACTGACTGCTGGCACTGACAGGTGCCACTTCTGGGGCCACACTGATCATCAGTGCCCTGATGATCAGTGTACATGTCCCCTCCGCGGAAAGCCGATTACCGGCTCTCCTCTCGAGCTGTCAGCGTGACAGCTCAAGAGAAAAATGCAGATAACCAGCATTTCGGTGTTTACATGTGATCAGCTGTGATTGGACACAGCTGATCACATGACCAAGCCGACATCTTCAGCTCTTTCCGTGATCTGCTGTGTCCGAGGGACACAGCGCACCGGCGATCGCCGCGCATGCGTGGCGAAAATGGAAGGACGTCGTATGACGTCCTATCAGAATGAGAGAACCACCTTGCGCCCTTCACTGGACTATATGGCGGGCGGAAGGTGGTTAAATTTCTTAAACCGCAAACAAATCAACATAAAAACATATAGTTCTGTGTTAATGCTAAATGACTGAAAATATTTTATATTTTATATTTTGCCTGTCGTTCCACATTAAGCCCTGGTTCACACTGATGCTAATGTGATGCGGTTTTGAATACTCAGATTCACATGTCAAGTGATTTTTCAGTGTTCTATGTAGGCAGTTCACATCTATGCGTTGCGAATATGATGCGGTTAAAACCAGCCTCCTGTGCGTGTTTAATGTGAACTCTATAGACTTCAATAGAACCCAAGTTCAAAACGTGCTCCTCCTTCACATGTATGCAAATACGTTTTTACTCCGCCCAAAAGCCCCCCACTTCCTGTCCATGTGTTCACTGTAAACATGGCCCCCAGATGCAAGAAGAGCGCTGTTGACAATGAGGAGCTGATCCGACTTGTCCAGCAAAGGCTGTACATTTATGACTGCAGGGATCCTCAGTACAAGGACAACAGCAAGAATAACAGAGGATGGGATGAGATTGCTAAAATCATGTTTCCAGATTGGGACAAATTACAAGCAGCAGTGCGCCACCAAAAGTGTAAGAATATTTCGTAGTACATATACGTGTGTATAGGGTGTGCGTGGTTAGAGTTTGGTGGTTATTGGATATTTGGGGTTAGGGGGGCTAGAGATAAGTGTGGATTTGGGTTAGGAGGCGAGGGGTTAGTGGATATTTGGGGTTATGGAGGATTTGGGGTTAGAGGTTAGTGTGGATTTGGGGTTAGTGGATATTTGGGGTTAGGGGGGGGCTAGGGGTTAGTGTGGATTTGGGGTTAATGGATATCTGGGGTTGGGGGGGGGGATTAGAGGTTAGTGTGGATCTGGGGTTAGGGTTTAGTTGCAATTTGGGATTAGGGTATGTAGGTTTTATTTTTTTCCCCAGACATAGCCACAAATGAAAGAAATACATAACACTGGTGTACATATCAACCATATGTAAATTTATTTTCAAAAAATAAAATCAACACAGCATGCAAAATAGTCAGCAAAGTGTACTATATTTTGTTATGCAATAGGCTCATGTTGCCATGACGCTTTACCTGCTATAGACATGAAGTAGTCAGTGAAAACCTCACGAATGTTGGCACCACTGGTGTTGCCTCTAGTTATGCACTATTGTGCCCCTTCCAAATTGTGCATCAATGAATCTTCAAAAAGGCAGCCATCTCAAGCAAGAAACAAAATTGTGGAGCACACATGTTGATTTGACAGCAGCAATAGCATTGTCCATGGTTAGGCCTATAGGGGGTATCAGGGATGTTGGATTCCTATCGCCCGATGCCCGGGACATGTAGTTCCGGGCGCTGAACAGGTAGTTTCTTTCTACCTTTAGCAGCTGGGCTAACCTGTCAGGTGATGTAATCGGCGCCAGCGGTGCCGCCGATTGCTTCACACAGTGCCAGCCTCTCTATGCCCTCGGCGTGATGTCTCCCGGGCTCCGATTGCCCATCTGCGGGCCTGGCTCACCATCGGCTAGAGGGGAGGGAGAAGAGCGGACAAGTCTGCTCCCCTTTTTGTGCTGACCCGGAAGTGACGTCACGATGTCACTTCTGGGTCCCCGTTGAGAGATTGTAATGCAATCCCCAGGAAAGAATTTAATATGGTGCGATGTCTCAAAGAGAACTTATCACCAAAAATCATCACATAGGGGACATTTTTTTTTATTTTTATTTTAAGAATTGTAAAAAATGAAAGTTACACCCAAGCACATACCATCCCCCCAAAACAATATTGAGGCCCCCACCCCCCCATATACGCAAGTACAAATGTAAAGCACACGCTGGGGCGCCTACGCATGAAACCATCGAATGCGATACACGTTACATATCGCCGCGCACGCCAGAATGAGAGCAATAATTCTAGCACCAGACCTCCTCTGTAACGCTAAACTGGTGACCTATAAGGAGCTTTTAAAAATGTTGACCTATAGAAAATATAGGGTACTGAAGTTCGTTGCCATTTCACAAGCGCGCACAAATCTAAGGTTTAGGTTGGATATCTATTTACTCGCTGCAACCTCTTTTATATTTTACAAAATAAATAAGGCAATTTATTGCTTTTTTATGCCCTAAAATTGACTTGCGACATAAAAAATTGGAACTACCACTATTTTATTCTCTAGGGTCTCTGCTTTTAGAAAATATATCATGTTAGGGGGTTTTGTGTAATCTTCAGGCCTAAAATTATTTTTTAAATGTGTGCAAAAAACACAAAAACGGCTCTGGCAACGAAAACGCAAAAACGGCTCTGGCAGCGAAAGGGATAAAGTATAAGCTCTGACCCACCCCCTTTCCTGACGAGCAGCCAATCGGTGCTGATTACACTTCAAGGTCTCTCTCCTCCCTGCTAGTCCCCAGGTGCGGTGCTGGAAAGAGGCAGAGAGGGGAGGAGGAGATAAACCACACAGTGTTAAAAATATTACATGTTTAAGTCGCCATAAAGCATCCAATTTAAATACAGTTTTGGTTAAAAAAAATTTTTTATCTGGACATGAGGGACAAGAAGATTAGGCCCCAATTTAGTCCCTGGACAAGCATTTTTCTTTTTTTAATTTCCACGCCCCTGGGTATGCAGCAACCGCAACGTGTTTGCAAGTATCCAGAATGCACACTCCACAATGCGTTGTGCGCTCGTGAGACGATAATTAAATATCCTCTTCTCTACAGTAAGTGAGCGATTGGCATAGGATCCAAAAAGGTGCTCAGAGATAGAGAAGGCCTCATCGCCAATGAAGACATATGGTAGGGATGGCTGACTTGTGCCCGGAAGTGGACAGTCATTTGGAAGGTCTAGAGTATTGTTACGAAGTATTTGCCCAATTGTTGAATGGGAAAAAATACTTGAGTCTGGGCTGCTGCCATATGAACCAAAGTCAATATATGTAAAAGAATAATTTGCATCGGACACTGCAGGACAAACGAGAACATTTCTTGTAGTTGAAGTATTTGGTGCCACTAGCAATTGCATCCACACAATTTGGTAAGTTGCAGCACTCCCAAAAAAGCTGTGTTATATTGGCCCATTCTTCTTTGGTTGTTTTTTTCATAACCAGATCTTTCAAGGCATCCCAGATGAATCTGCATGTTTGATGGACAACAGCGCTCACGGTTGATTTCCCCAGCTTGAATTCATAGTGTAGGCTGGCTAAAGAATTACCAGTAGCTAGGTACCTGAAAGGAAAAAGATTATTTAGGTATTTTATTTTTTTCAGTAAATGACATATGTATAAGGTGGCGCAGTGTGAGGGATACATACAGGAAGTATCTCAGAGAACAACGAAAGACAAGAGGTGGAGCAGCGGCCAAAAATAAACGTCCCTATGTGTTTGCCAGCAACCTTGACTTCCTAAAGCCGATCCTGGAATTGAGGAGGTAGGTTAGCATCTATCAGACTTATGTATGTTAATCTTAATAACCCACTGAAGAAAAAAAAATATATTACAGTACACAGGCAAGTTGGGAGGAGGAAAAAGAGGAAGGTTATGAAGAAGGAGAAGATGAAACAATGGAATGTAGCAATGTTGAAGACTTATCTATGGAGCTGCATGTTCTTGATGAATCTACATCATCCATTCCATATGTTCCAGAACCTAAAGAGGCTGAAGTTTCCACACCAACCAGTCAAAGGTCTAGTGCAAAGTCTACTTCCCGCAGCAGACATTCCACCTCTAGATCACATAGGTTGGAGAACACGGACAGTGCTAATTGACTGCTTAATATTGTGTCTGGTATTTCCGCACAAATGGAAGCACAGCGCTGTCCACACACATCATTTACACTCAGTTTGGGGCCCCTTTTGAAGGAGGTTTTACCAGAAAGATACTTTGAGAGGCGTATAGCAGTCCAACAGTGTATTCACTCTTGCAGTTTCTCCTGCAACCTCAGCATCCAAACAAAAGAAGCATCATCTGCCCCACCTGTAATTCCCCGTCCTTCTGCCCTCAAAACAACCCCATAACCCCACACTTCCAGGTTTGATTCCTCCCCCAACACCCCCCCCCCCCCCCCAAGCAGACCTCCTGAACTACCAACTTGTTCCCAATTGTCCGCCCCAAGCAGACCACCCCAACTCTACACACCATTTCATTCCACTGCAATCCAATATCTCCCTCCCAGCAGACCAACTCAACTACACGCACAACTGTATCCAACCTATCCACAATGCCCCCGCCCCCTCCCAAGCAAACCTACTGAACAAGCAACAAATACTCTGAGGTATTCCCCCGAAAGCAAATTCCCTGGCAAACCACGGCTTTCAACATATGATATAATATGGATATTCCAAGCACACATCCACGCAAAGCTTGACATCAATACAGCGCTGCCTTTTGAACAATATTCCTTTATCCACCATCTGCACACCTTTGCAGTCCCTTGTCAAATCTCTATCTCTGCCCCAGGCCACAACATCCCAGCAGTTGAGGAACATGTGGAAAACACGTATTTGTAGATTTTTGCCTTGATAACAGCACTTACCTAATCTGAAATATTTATATTTTTTACAATGTTATGGCATTTTTGGCCGATTTTGCACTACGCTTAAGTTTTGTTAGTTTGTGCTTTGGAAAAGCAATGCAATAAAAAGTAAAGATACAAAATCAGTTGGAGTATGATCTGTTTTCTTTGCATTTATTCGTTAGGGGTCAATAGATAACAATTTGCATTACTAATAAAAATTACCTTAATGTGACTAGTAATTTTTCAGCAGGCTCAACACTGTTCCTGAAGGTTGTCTTCTGTCGCTCCAAATGGCAGTATAGTAGTCCAAGCAATTTGTCAAAACTGAAATAATATATATTATCACAATGAGACATGGAAATGGAAGAGAGCTTGAGTGGGGAGAGGAAAGGGTAGTGTGAGAAG